TGGCCGAGCCTGGCAAGCGCTTCGTTGTGTGACTCGGATCGGCCGCGCATTGGTCGAGTGAGGCAGCCTCAGCATGCATCTGCTCCCTCTTTCGATATTTCCCGCCGCTCTTTTGTCGGTCGGGAGCATGGCGACATCTTTTCCCACGGACCAGCCAGCCGTCGGCCGCCGCTAGCAGGTAGTAGCTCTCTTTGCCGCGAGAAGAGGCTGCCTCGGGGCTGAAAGAGGGGGTGGATGGGCTGTCGGAGCTGAGGCACAAGACAGACGAGAGAAACGCGACAAGCAGCATCAGATTCTTCGGTTGAGCTAATTGCTGGTGGGGCATCGCTGATCAAACAAAGCTCCAACTCTGTTCAGACACTAAACGAGCCGTTCTTTGGCCCTGATGCCTCGTTCTGGAAGTCGGGCTCCGTGGCGGCAAACTCAAATCCCAACACGTTGCCTGTTAGCTCCGCGGATGGCAGAGCGAGGTCGTGGCTTGACATTGAACGTGGCGACAATAAGGTATGCCTCTCCCTTATTGACAGGAGGCCAATCGCAGCGACAATACTGGCAAGAGCCCTCCATGCCGCCGCCCATCCGCAACTTTCAATCAAACGTGCAACGGCCGTGCCGTGCCTGCCTGCCATGCAGCGGGAAGCGCCTACTAGCTTCTGGCTATTCCGGACCTGCCCTGTTAGCAGGAGGAGGCCTGCAGAATCGCTGGGGAAGGCGCTGGATGCCTCGCCTGGCACTAGACATGCACGACGAACAGGTACGAGTAAGGACTGCATGCCTCCAATAACACCTGCAAGAGGCATGACCCAAGAATGCCTGCCAGGGAGTTACATATCGCCGTGCTAGTGCCAGGTAGGCTCGGAGTGCTTCTCAATCGCATCAAACTCCGGCTTATTCGGAGCGTTCCCGTCAGCGATGATGATGACCGGCACGGCATCAGCAATCAATCAAGGGCGGTATACAAGTAACAACTGTGTGCCGTATGGTATGGGAATATGCACCAGCTGCTAACAATCACATATACTTGCCGAGTGCAAACAAGCACGGGCTGTCTGCTATGACTGTCTCGCGCACATGTGGAGGCCCCCTGCCGAAGTTTACAGTAATCCGGCAATATCAAGTCAAGCATCAAATCGTTGCGTAGCACTGGACGGTCATGGCTCGAACAAGGCAGCGAATCACGTCCACCAGACGCACACTTGAGCGTCCTTGCATGCCTGTTCCAGAGCATCATCTCACTAGCCATAGGCGGCTGGGTAGTTTCCAGCGATAATGCACAATGATCGAGTGGTAGTATCTCCGGCGCACGCAAGGAACAGGCGCCCGCTGTGCCAGAGGAGAGGCGGCGAAGTCCAGGCCCCGGGCAGACGCTGAGGCGCTGCAAAGGAAATTGCCGCTACCACCTGGCTATCTTGCTACCATTGTCCAACCCAACGGTGAAGACATTGGGCGGTTCGAATCAATACAGCCAGCCTCTCGGAGTTTCGGAGGGCCACACAAGGCGCTGGTCGAGTAGAGTAGTAGAGTAGAGTAGTAGAGCAGACGGCCGAGATACCTGTCTGCGACTACCTGCTGGCGTCCCTCTATCGGCCAGGCCAAGCCGCCGCCCATTCAGCCAGAAGCAAAACCCCACCTCCAGGCCAACTCTATCCGGCTGCATGGCCAGTGCGGAATGGATTAGTGAATGGCACCGCACGGCCGCCAATCAGGAACCGATATTTTGCCCAAAGGCGCCTAGCAGCGCAGCGCAGAGCGACTCTTTGTTTCCGACGGGTTGCAAGACCGCTGCGCCGAGATGACGTCGTTGGACGAACTAGCGGCACCGACATGCCAGCTAATGCTGTGGCAGGCAAATCATGCAAACGTCCAGTCACAGACGACGATACATTACAGGATGCATCTGATACAACGGCTGGCATGGGTGAGCGGTGCGGCTATTCCCCGATTTGCCACAGACGACTTCCACGACCAAGTCTATTTTTTTTTTTTCGGCTCGCATGACCAGATGACTCCGTGGAGCTGGCCGCTGGGAGAGACATCAGCTTTTGAAAATAGAAGCTGCCCTGCGCCGCGATCCATAAAAACGTCAGGCCGGGCGCAAACCCAACACGAGCTGGTGGTGACTGGTCATATCGATGCATGGGGACGCACGGACCCCACGGACGAGCCAGGGGGTGGTCATAGCGTGTCGATACGGCTAGCAGGACTCGTGGAACCGCAGCAAGTACCGCCGCCGTACCGGTAGCATTCTCAGGGAGCAAGAGGTGCGCGATGCAACTTCGGGCCTGGGCCTGTTTGAGTAACAGCTGCTTGTCCTCGTCCGCGGCTGCAGTACTTGCTTGCCTCTTTTCCTACTATTTGGGGGTTTCTTTGATTCAGTACGTGTGTACAGTATATTTCAGCTGCTGATTTAATTTTACCAATTTTTAATGAACCTGCATCTACGTACCTATACTTGTACAATCACGACGACGGTGTTGCTTCTGCTGCTTGGCTTATAGCCTAGCTCGCCTCGCCCTTGACGCGGTCTGGTCATTTATTCGCGGGCACGCATCACTAAAATAAGCGACGCGCTCTGCCAGGCCGCTAGTGTCTCTGCTCCAAGCCGATATCAAGCATCAAGACATGACTAGCGCGGGCATCTATTTGGGCAGGTCAAGCACAACTTAGAGTTGAATGATTGAAATCCCACGAGCAGGCAGACCGGGCTGACCTGAAGGATCAAATCAGTGATAGCTGTGGCTCCCAACACGGCAGTATAGCCGAATACTGCAAGGGTGGCTTTTGGGAGCCCGGGTACAGAGCATTGCTTGCATATTCGGCGGGCTGGGCTCGTTCGTGCGGGCCAGCTCTGGGTGGACGTACCTTACAGGGCAGTTCTGGCGGCGACTGACAGCAGCCAGCAGTTTATGGTTGCAGCAAGCTGCAGGCTGAGGGCGATGTGCACATGGCGTATCAGCTTACTGTACAGTACCTCTATTAATGTTCAATGGATGTGACTGGAGTTGCAGCTGCAGCTCCCTGCATCACCCTATTCCCTCTGTTCATCTGGTGTGCGAGTGTTTGTTTTGCCTGTTTCGGTATAAGCCCGCTGTATCTCTCATGGAAGAGAAGCCAAGTATCGGAAAAAGAAGAAGAGAATAACTTGGCAGTCTCCAGTGTTTATCATCCATGTTCATGTCGGCTGCTACATACAATCACGTACTCGTACAGTACATGCTCTCGTATAAGTGAACCTGTGATGGCCGGCTGCAGGGATGCTCGTCTCTAGTCGATGCTATTGCAACGACTATACAAGCAGAACTGGGTCTTCTGCACACGGCTGAGCTGCAGCATGCTTGCTCCTGGCCCCCTGGCCGGCCATGCAGTAGTAAATAACCGGGTTTCCTCGTCTTTGGCTGTGTTCCGTCAGTCCATCCCCTCCAGACCTTCCCCTCCCATCCCTCCTCGTCCCCGTGGCGTGGGATAGCAGTGCAGGGCCCTTTCGCATGGCCACCGCCGCTAAGGGATCAGTGTTTGGGACTACTGTATCTGCAAATTAAATTGGAAATAGATTTGTGACTTGGTAGATTACTGTACAGCAGCAGTCGAGTCGAGCAAATCCACAGCGTCCTCGGCCATGCCCAGCCCGGCTCCGGCGTAATCTGCACGGCGCTCAGTCGAGCTGGCCAGTGCTACCTCGCACGAGCAGGTACTCCATACCTGCGCGCTACCCTCGAGATACCTCGAGATGCCGCAATTCACCACAGTTTGCTCTGCACACCCCCCCTCCTCCAGCAAACCTGTCTCGCCGTCCAGCCCAGGCGCTGCGTCTTTGCAGCCAACCATGCGGCGTCGTCATCCGCTCCAGCCCTCCATCCGCGCATCCACATATATCATCCAAGTCATCCTTGCCCTTTGCTTCTCCCTCCTGCCCCCCTCCTCGCGGCCCCGTCAAGCCCGCTCTTGTTTTCTGCACTCTGCGACCTCTAGCGTCCGCCAGGCGTGCTAACGTACGACATACCTACCTGCCACTGTCCCATTACAAACCAGCCCACGCTGCTCCATCTCCACCTCCACCACCACCACCACCACCATCATAACCATAACCACCCTAAAGCACCCTCCCTCCTCTCGCACACAACCTCATCGCGCCCACATCCGGCACAAGGTCCCCAGCTGCTCGACCTTTGCGCCTCTTTGCTCTGCCTGCGCCGTGCCTTGCTGCATCCCGCACCGCACTACACTACGCTGCGCTACGCCTGCCCTGCCCGGAGCTTCGCTGCGCTTTCGCGAACAAGAAACTGAAAAAAGAAGCGTCTCCACCACAGAAGAGTCGAGTCGCGCTGCTCCCAACCATCGCCGATTGCCTCGCTGCGCCCAGACTCGCAGACACGCGCTCGTCGCCAGACAAAAGTCGATCGCCGCTCGTGTTTCCTGACTGCCGCCGTGCGCCATCATCGTCGCTGCTGTCGCACACGCGTCGCGCCCCTCGCCCATCTGCTTGCTGCACCCAGCGTGCAAAGAACAAGGTAACAATAGCCCACGAAGAAGCAACGCTTCGTCCCATTTCCTTTCCCTCTTCTCTCCCGTCCAGCCCGGCCCTCTCCGGATCCAGCATCGCCCACGATGCGTCTGCGTGCCCGGCCTCTCGCTGCGCAGCCATGAACCGCTCAGCTGCTTCAATCGCCTCGTCGCCCTGCCTCGAGATGTTGATCTGCGCTGCGGCGTGGCAGCTCTGAAGCAGCCGCCTTGGCCTTTGGTTGTGTTGCGCCGCACTCGGGCGACACCACGCTCCTACACCTGGTCGCCGCGCTGCTCTCGTCGCTGCCCGTCTGTCCGTCTCGCTGGGCCTGCCCGCCACACCCTTCCACGCCCCCTTGGAAGCCAACCACCTGCAGGTCGAGCTTGTTCTTTCTGCACCTCGTCCATCCTCGGAACTTCGCCAGCCCAACTATTTCACGACACGTCGCCGCCGCCGTCGTTGCTGCCGCCACCGTCGCTGCTGGCTTGGATCTCTTGTCATGTACTCCGCACAACCAACAGGCGCCGACGGTGCGACAATCAATCCCGCTGCTCTCAACTCTGGTGAGTTCTTCATTCCTCATCGCATCGCATATAATTCCTCGTCATTGTCGCTGCCCCTCCATCTCGATCCTTTTATCATGTCCCCTCCCCCGCCAGATCTCGACGGCACGCGCCGCCTCTTTAAAAAAAAAAAAAAAAGCGAGGCGAAAAACAACACTCAACACATAGTTCATATAATTCTTTGCGCATAATCACCTTTACCCCATAATCTCTTTCGCAATGCCTCGCGCGCCTCATGCAAGCTATTCTTCTTCGAGCCTTCGTAATGCTGACCCGCCGACCTCATAGACCTCGCTATCGCGCCTCTGCGGGGTGTCAAGCGCAATCGGTCCCCGGATCCCCTCGACTCTTACCGGCCTGGCGATGACGGTATGTCGGCGATAGATCTTGTGTAGCTCGGACTCTGGCGCCGCGTTCCACAGACCTTGCGGATATGCTCTACATGTTACACCCTGCCCTGTGCGACGCTGCGCAAAATCATGAACCTTTTTTTTTTTGAACCAGGGACAGGAGCCAGGAACGATGCGACGAGATATTGATAATTTTTTAATGCTATGTTAGAGGATGGCAACGCTGACCAAGAGTCTATTTCTTCCTAGGCGATCGCCAATTTCAACCCAAACGATCAAGACCAATGAAGGCCCGAGCGACAGGCAGCATCTCTGAAGGCCCCGGGCAAGCGCCTGGCGGACCTGTGCCTCAGGCCATTCCGCCGCCGCAGACGCCGCAGTCTCAGAATCCTGCCATGCCCACTCAGGCTGCGCCAGCCTACCCGGCCCCCCAGGCGCAAATGCCTCCCAAGACGACGCCGACAAAGACGACTCTCAAGGCTCTGCCCACGGTGCGAGACCATACCACTGATCAGCTCAATGCGACAGGCGATGAGTACATTCCGCGCGAGACTGACGAATTCGGCGAGAAGAAGGTGATGCCCAACGGTGCGCTTCTTGGCAACCGCCAATATCGATGCCGCACGTTCCTGGTCCCAAACCGCGGAGACAAACTGTTCATGTTGGCTACCGAGTGCGCGCGAGTACTGGGATACCGGGACTCGTACCTCCTGTTTAACAAGAACAGGTCGCTGTACAAGATAATCGCAAGCCAGGCCGAAAAGGACGACCTTGTCCAGCAGGAAATCCTGCCCTTCTCGTATCGGTCGAGACAGATTGCCATTGTTACTGCCCGCTCCATGTTCCGACAGTTTGGAAGCCGCGTCATCGAAAACGGTCGCCGCGTCCGAGACGATTACTGGGAGACCAAGGCCCGCAAGCAGGGCTTCACCGAAGCTGATCCCGCCGGGGAGAAGCGACCCGGAGCAGCCAAGGCCAGAGAGGCTGCGGAAGCAGCAGCGCAGAACAACGTTTTGATGGGCAACCCACACACCGAGATTGTGTATAACAACACGCCTGGGCCATACCCTGGTGCGCCTCAGACTCATCTCGTTCCAGGTATGATAGGAGCACCTGGAAGCGCCACAAGAATGCCGGCATTAACTATTGGACCAGACCTCAGTGACAACAGATCTCGGGACTACGGCGGCATCGTCAAGGGCGGCCCTCGACAGGAGATTACCGGACCCCCATACCAAGACCAGACCAGGCCTTCTCCCCTGATGGAAATCCACTCGCAGGCCAATCACGCAGCCGACTACAATCGATCCGTCAACCAGCAACGCGACATGCGTGACAACTACCTTCAGCGGATATGGCGTCAGCCCCACGAGCAGCCCGCTCAACCCGCTCTCCCTCAGCAACCTGTTGCTGCGTCTGCCGACGCATCCATTCCCACCAGTCGGCCGTCGAATTCTCCTCACACCACTGCCGCTGGCATAGCTCAGCCCGGTGTTGTATCATCGCAGAGCCCGCAGATGATGATGACGGCAGCCCCTTACTCGCAGTCCATCAATGCACAGAGTGCGCTCGGTCAAGCTCCCATTAGAGGTATGGCCCCTTTGCCTTTAACCACCAAGCTGAGTATCCGTGAACCAACACCTGCTGCAGGTTCTACTGGTGCAATGAATCCCTCAACCGCTGGCTACAGCTACCAACAACCAAGCCAAGCCATGTGGTCCCAGAGCCCCCCGACGGCACAAACCAGCTACAGCAGCTATACGACGCAGCCCCAACCCCAGCATCCTTCCCAGTCTCCGGCCTCGCACCTTCGCCAAACTGGGGCTGGCCAGATGCAACCCGGCATGCAATTCTCAGGCATGGGAAGCATGCAGTACAGCGCAGGCCAAGGCATGTATACCGCTGACCAGACTCCGCGTCAATACCTGCCCCAAACTACGCCAAGTGCGCAGTCGGCCTCGCAACAGGCATGGTCAGGCCAACACTCACAGCCCCAACAGTGGTGGACACAGCAGCAACAATAAAAAAACGCTGCTCGTGTAGCCATTGTAAAGCGGCCCTCTTTCAACTTGCTCACGTTGTGGTCATTAAGATATGAAATGTTACTGCGTTGCTTGTTCTTGCTGCTTGCTGCTGCTGTCTTTTATGCGCCTTCTAGTTCGAAGAACTGGCTGGTTCTTTTGGCTTTTTTTCTTTCTTTTTTTTTATCATCATCTTCTGGGACCGAGCTCCTGCAGTATTCCGGATACCCCAAGCATACAGGTTGGTTGGAGCGGCTTTTTGCTTTTCTTGGGTCAGCGGCTCGTTTTATTTGGAAACGATGTACAGCATCTGATCTAGGCAAGGATAAAGGAGTCGGGAGGGAGATCGGTAGGGATGTACTTTTTCTTCTTGTTCTCTTTGGTTCCCTTTCTTTCTTTCCCCCCTTTTCTTTCGCTTACGATTTTCGCCATCTTCTTCTTGTTTGGCTAGAGGTTTTACAAGAAATCTCTTCGCCATTTGCTTCATTTGGCTATGATTGTCGAATGGCTCTTTCTGTCTCCTTGTTCATGTTTCTTCTTTACTTAACGGCCGATTTGTTATTTTCCTTTGAGTGTCCAGGATATGTTATCCGGGCGAGGATTTCATATGTATGTGTGCGATTGTTTATGGTATTCACGAAAGGGGAGAGAACTCCTTACTTTGGCATCTCCTCAGGGCTAATTCTCATGTTTTGGCGGGGCATGTTTTTGCGTTGTTGATGTTGATACCACTCGGTTTGATTAAGTCGTCGAACGCAATTATGAGAGAGAAATTGAGAATTTTCTATTTTTTTGGTTGGACTCTGAACATTTTCCAATGCTGAATGTTTTCCTCGAGTGTTTTTGTCTACTGTTGCTCCAATCGCCTAAGAGCAACAAGGAAATTTTACTGTGTTGTGGTTCGTATTTGTATGAATGGCCGATTTGTCGGTATGTCTTGTGCTATGTGGAATGTTATTCATTGTATCTTCTGACTATGGGATATATCTGTCTATCCGATTGATTGATTGTTGCCCCCCTTTTTTTTTGGATTGTCTTTGACGGATGGCTAGCGAAATGATAGTGAAGGCCAGCATCACTGGTAAGAGTAGGAAAGGGAGAAGGGCAGTCTACACACGAATGAAACTATTCCTGTTCTTTTTTCCTTAGTATGGAAATTGGTAGTCTTTTTTTTCTTCTTCCTATTTCCTCTGCTTTTTTGATTCTTGCATCTTTTCTAGTTTCCAAGTTTGGTCTGATCCACACTCTGGAAGAAAGCAAAAGGGAAACTGGTTACTAAATAGGGGTTTAAGGGAAGAAGAGATGGGCATATTGTGACGACAAAGGTTTGTTTTCTCTCTTGTATGTCATTTGCGATTTAGGCTTTTTCTATGTGTATGTTTTCTGTAACTTTCTCTCTTGGGAGGAAGAGTATTCTGATGCTTGTGGTTTTACTTTTTTTTTTCTTATAAGTTTTATACAAGTCTTCTTCAATTTATAAACTTTGAATCCATTCTTATGCGAATTGAATGCGATTTCGCTTGACTTATTTGTGAGAGAGGAATGGATTACTGGCTTCTACGATGTATGTCGTTTACCATGTCTTCGGATCAAAGCATCAGGTTTATTGAACACTGGACATTGGAAACAAACAGAAATTCTCTTCTAAACTCCTTTCTTCGCTCAAATACAAAAAAAAAATATCATTTAATCACTGTCATCTCCCTCCAAGGCCTCATCCTCCGCATCATCTCTACTCCTCCTCTCTTCCAGCGCATCCTGCGTCTCATCACCACTGACCTCACGCTCCTCATCTTCGTCTTCATCACCAGCCTCGTCATCCTCGTCACCATCATCATCATCGTGGGCTTCTTCTTCGTCCCCGTCGTCGTCATCCTCTTCTACTTCATCATCATCGACAATCGCATCAATCTCTTCGTCTTCTGCGGCAGAAGGGTCAACGCGAGCCTTTTTGGCGCGGGGGCCGGATGAAGTAGATGCTTCTTCTGAGGCTGCGGTCGTGTCGGCCATTTCGGTGTCGTCGCCGCCGCCTTCGCCGGAGCCGGACTTGGGGGCGCGGACTTTTTGGCGGTAGGTTGTGCGCTTTTCGGCTTGTAGGGCGGTGAATTCTGCAAAGAAAAAGAACAAGATCAGAGAGTGAAGAGAAAATGAGGAAAGAGGGGAAGGGGGTAGTCCGTTGCATGTTGTATGCCGAGCGGTAAGAGATGAACTTGATTACCAACAGGGATATATGATAACGTGATATGAAAAGGAGCGTATAGTTAGAAGGGGGAGGGGATCTATGCGGCAGGACATACTAGCAAATTCAGCCTCAAGAGACTCTTTCAGAAAAGCAAACTCGGTGTCGTCTAATGCCTTGAAAACGTCGGCTGGGGAAATGGTTTTTTTGCCTGCGGCAACGGTGTTCTCATTGGCGCTGTGGTACGTGATTGAGATCAGCTCTTGTTCAGAATTTGCGTGTACATATATGGCTTGTCCTGTTCCTCATATATGAGAGAAGAGGGGTCCAAACCCATCGTAACAGATGAAATGAAGAGATCCATGAGACAAAACATACTGCGAAGCTAGATAGCTGATAAAGACAGTGGCGCTCTTGCTCAGCGCCAGAATTGCATTCCCTTGAATCTGCGTGTTGGGCGGCAGGGTACCCTTTGCCAGTCTTGTGATTATTGATTTGGGGAGGTTCAAGTCCTGGGAAAGGCAAAAGTTAGCTTTCCCTCTTATGGATTTATATTCCAACGCCCGCTGAATGATGCGCAGCACACACACACACACACACACATACCTCAATTGTTATGGCATCCTCTCCTTTTGCCTTTTGGGCATCCTTTTCCTTTTCCTTGTCCTTTTTCTCCTGTTGGGGTTTTGCTGGAGGAGAGGTCTCTTCGGCGGCAATGGGGGTGGATGCCCTGACGTCGGACTTGCGAGGAGGCATCTTTATTCTGACTGTTTGGATGATGGATGTATGTGGGCTATAACGTGAAAGGCTGGATTCTCTGTGTGGAGGGATGAAGAGGTTGTGAGGCGGAGTGAGATGGGCAGGGCGGCTAGATGAGAGTATGTGGATATATAGCACAGAAATCAAGATGGAGAAGGCCTGACGTAGAAAAAGATGAGATCCAAGCTGCCGTATATCTCTTTCCAAATACCTCTAAATATGTAGAGTGAGGAGAGACTGAAAAGAATGGCAACGAGAGCGATGTGAAGTTAAGAGAGACGAGAAGAGCGAAGACAGCGAGAGCCCAAGTTAAGAAAGACTCCCCGTATTAGCCCCCCTGGAACAGTCTCTAATCGGCACAGGCTCGAACTGGGATCAACACGAGATCCGGCTCAACCGCAGCGCTGTAAAGTAAAGCCAGTAGACGGTGCAATCAAGACCAATTGGGCACAGAGAGCGAAGAGGTCCAGTCCTGCTACGTGCTGTTTTTTTTCTCCCTAGTCCGAAATCGAAGGCAAAAGGCTAGCAGAACCACATTCGGGAATTAGGTAAGATATCAAGGCCAGGGTGCAAAAAAAAAAAATGAGGGTTATAGCAGGGCAAGTTTTGCTCAAATCCGAGTAAAAGAGCGCGGTTGATGCTCGTGGGCAAGCCTCTCTCGATGCAGCTGTCCAGATTATGGGGTAGAAAAGGAAAAAGGACGTGCTAGACGCGTTTTCTCTCCCCCGCCGTGGCGCGCGTTAAGTGGTTTTTCTTTGTGCTTTATTTTACAAGCTGGCTGCGGGACGGGCAGGGACAGGTACCCTCTACTGCGACCGGGCGGCTATTTGCGCGGTGCGGGCTGCGCCTCGCTAGGTAGACGGTACCTAGCTCTCGGCAATGAATCTCGAGAAACACCAAACATTACAGTTTGTATATACGGTTGAATTCGTCGACAGATTTCAATTTGGCCGTGGCATTTTATCTGTTCTCTCTTCTCTTTAATCCTTCTCTATGGCCTTCCCTAGCTCCTCTCATCGCCACTCAGCTCACCAAGGGAATGATTGCCGCAAATTTCCACATCCACGCCACAATACAATGATGCCTTCATCCTATTCTTGGAGTCAATTTCTGTGTTCAATTTAAAATCTCCAAATAAGATGAAAAATAAAATAAAACAAAAAACCTTCATGGCAGTGATATGCGCCTGCTCATGATACATGGATGATAGAAAATAAAAATAAAAATAAAAAAAACATGGGGGTATATCCGTCGTATATATCAAATAAATCATACTACTATCAAATAAAATGAAAAAGGAGAGAATCAGGGCTCCAGCCTGCATTCATTCGCCGCTTACCATTGAAGCGACTAAAAGGTGCCTGGCATACGAATCCTCCGCAGGAGTGATGACACCCGCGTATGCGAAAATGAAGTGGAAGGGTACGGAATAATTCATGTTGAGAGAAAAAACGTTGTGCTGGAAATGGACTCACCATGAATCTGTCATGATCCATGGACATGTCCCATTCCGCTCAAGAAGTGTGAGTGAAGAATAAATGGCTACCACATTCTTTTATGGAAGTGGCTGTCAGAACGTATATTTCTACTGTCTTGTCCACTGCGGCGAGTGAGGCGAGGCAGTGTCGAAACTTACTCACTGCCGTGAGCCTTGCTCAGTTTATACAACTGAACGTGTCTCACAACAGGAGTTATGAAGTAGGTAAGTAACTTGCCAAAGGTTCTCATCCTATAGCGCGCCCGATATCAGAACTGTGCACCACCGGTGGTCGTGGTGTCAAGCCAGTCAAAGGCACCTCGTCATCCCGACAGCCCTGTCGAGCAGCAGGAGTCGAAATAGTCGCTCTGCGGGGTGCCGGCGCGGATTTAGAGTATATGTCGGCAGATTGCCGAGGCGAGTTCTGCTCTGGAGTCTGACTGTACCACTGTTCCCGTCTGGTATTGGCACCGAAACTGCTTCGCGTACTGCGAGCGCTTTTGGTCCGTGCATGGCGAGGAGGATTGGATTTTGTCAGGCGTGCCGAGGGAGTCCGCTTGATATTGACGTAAGCATTATCTCCCCGGACAGTTTCGTCTGTTAGGCCTGGTCGAGAGTTTGGTGCTCGCGCAAGGACTGGTGTTGGCGGGATATCGATGCTCTGCTTTGTGCGGACGGGGGAAAACGGGAGTTGCTCCTCAGAGACTCGGCTTTGGTAGACAATAACACTGGATGACTTTACAGAACCAAGCGACGTGTTTGTGTGGTGAGATTGGTGAGCCGGTCTTGGTTCGCTGATGGCTGATTTCGGCGTACGGGGAAGCTTCTCCTCGGCCTCAACACTCCGCATCCGATTAATTTTCCAGGATTCAATCTCCTCATCGTCAATTGGCGTGATTCCCCTGTTGCGAAATCGAGCTCTGCGTCTGCGAACTCGGTGGTATATGAAGGCGGCCAAGGCGATGAGAAGGACAGACGGGATAGTTGTAGTCAGGACGATTATGAGCGTTTCATGCGAAGAAGATAGGCCAGCCATACTGTCTACCTCGTGGCGTGTTTACGGCGAGACCAAGTAGAGGGAAATAGGTAGGGCCCGAAGGTTGAATGAAGAAGGCGCTGAAGTGCCGGTATCACAAAGCCATTCGGACGACTCGGTATATCATGGATCTCCTTCTTTGTTGCCTTTTCTTTCTTTTTTATATGGGTTTTGAAAAATTGAAAATGTTTGAAATGTCCTTCTTTTGAGTCGGAATATCCTTTTCGACGACATTCACTTGTCCGAGCAAGATTCCTTCCAGATACAAGAGCGGCGTCGAGTATATGAGCGATAGTAGTCGATATGGCGCACGGTCAAAGAGGAAACAAGCTTTGTTGAAATTGATAGACGAAAAAGCGATCGGTGGCCCTCCTCCTTGTAGTAGATGAAAGAACTAGAACAAGGAGAAGAAAGGAAAAAGAAGAAGCGAATGGCAACTGGTGCCCACTGGTTAGTCTTTTTTTTTTCTCTCTTTCTTTTCTTGTTCCCTGGTCGTTTATAAATCTCCCAGGGCCCCTGAAAGCATCGAATGAAGGAGGAGTTGTGCAGTGTAAACCCGGTAGATGATCAACTTACAGTACACTCAAGGCCTGTGAATCATATTCCAACCCTGTAAAGCCCAGACAAAGAGCGAGTACTTGGAAGCAGCAGCACCCAAGTACATATGCCCTATGGAAGCAGAAGGGAGAGGCGGGATGCGGCAAAGAAGAGGGCTGGATGGGATACTAATACTAGGTACTACCAGCACTATACAAGTGCGTTATAGCAAGTGCAGGCTTACGGAGCCAAGTGCAGGCGTAAAATCCAGTACCGGTAGTATCAATACCTTGTTGTTGTAGGTACCACTTCTCCTCCGTATATACGGAGGCTATGTATGCACTCAACTGGAGACGGCATCTGTTGATGGTGTCAAGGCGTGTGTACCTGTAGGCGGTAGGCGAAGGGTCCAGGGGTGTGAGCGAGAGGAGCCCACCTGCGATCCACCCGTCAACCCTGGTTCAATGCAAAACAGCTCAAGAGCTCACGGTGAATTTGGTGTAAAAGAAGAAAATATTGCTCCGTGGGGCTACGCCGAATGAGGCATGGACAAGGCAGTAGTCGTGGTGCAAACCATGTACCTGCCTGTGGTGATGGTTCCTGTTGTGACGAACCATGGCCCCGACGGACTGAACAATGAGGTGACGAAGCAATAGCTGCAGCGACAATACGGCATCAATGCGAGAGTGACGCCGTGAATGGATTGCTAGTGTGACCAACTGCTCGCAAGCGAGACCTCGTAAGAAAGGCGCATGTGCCGTATGGAGGTAGCTCTCACCAGAAATGGGTGTGGTGGGTGCACGGCAAATATTCTCATTCAGGCCTGCTTGCCTGCCAGCAGCTCTTCTGGCAGCTTCAAGACCAGCAACCTCGTCTCCATCAGGTGCCTCCCTTTCGGGGGATGATCAAGGGGTTGGCTGTGGGGGTGGTCTCCAGAGCTGGGGAGGGAGAAGAAGAAGCTGCCGAGTCCACATACTGGACTAATCACGCCGCCAATTCTGGCGACCCTGGCCTGGGCAGCTGGGCAAAGAAACGCCAGCAGGGAAACGTGGCGCATCCCGCAGACGTGTCTCTGGCACTACGGCACAAGCCTGACTCGAATGGGACCTGTCTGCGGCGAGGGATGCGGCTGTGGCTTTTGGTTGGCCATTGAGCGGTTGAGTGTGGCCGATCTCTGAATGGCCGTTGGATTCCGCCAACGCCACGCGGAGGTCGCAAAGTGAGAGGGGAAAGTTTTCTCAGATTGATTGATTGATTGCTTGCTTGATTGATTGATTGCTCGATTGACTGAATGATTGAGTGACGGGCTTTTCCACTGATTGACTGGTTGATTGGCACAAACTTTTTGCCTGTTGGACGAAAATCCTCTCGGCTTGCCTCTATCTCTAGGCAGCACATTCCAACAACGCAAGCAAGCAAGGCAGCCCAGTCACTCACTCACTCACTCACCCCATCCCTCTTGTACAGTAAAGTATACACACTGCTCTTCTCATTCTGCTCCGTATTCTAGTGTCTCTGGCTAGCAAATGGGCGGGACCCACGGAGCTACAGTCCGGAGCACGGAGTTTGAGCAGCAGCCAGGAACCAGGCACAGAATCTCACTCAAAATCCAGTCGGTAGTTGCATGTCCAGGTATCGTGTCTGACGTCCACACGGCGCTCGGGAGAGTAGCATTGGGGGCAATCAACCATGGCGCCTCGGATGGCCAGCCCCAAAAAGAGCAGGACAAGCGGGATATTTCTCTGGGCGACAGCTTTGCCGCGACTCTGAATCTGCGAGGGAATCTTTGTAGCAACAGTAGCTCGACTAGTACAGCTTTGGCCGTGGCGGCAGCACTCACGATGCCTATTCTGACCAAAGGCTTTGGACTACACCTTGCCTCTCGAGAGAATGCCATTTTGGTCTTTTACGAGACCAATTGACCTCGCGGCTCGTCCCAGGTTTGCC